GTAACTTAGGGCAGGCAGGCAGCTAGCACAGGAACTTGGGATAGGCAGGCAGCTAGTACAGTAACTTAGGGCAGGCAGGCAGCTAGCACAGGAACTTAGGGCAGGCAGCTAGTACAGGAACGTAGGGCAGGCAGGCAGCTAGTACAGGAACGTAGGGCAGGCAGGCAGCTAGTACAGGAACGTAGGGCAGGCAGGCAGCTAGTACAGGAACGTAGGGCAGGCAGGCAGCTAGTACAGGAACGTAGGGCAGGCAGGCAGCTAGTACAGGAACGTAGGGCAGGCAGGCAGCTAGTACAGTAACGTAGGGCAGAAAGGCAGCTAGTACAGGAACTTAGGGCAGGCAGGCAGCTAGCACAGGAACTTAGGGACCAACAACATTAACATTAATGAATTGGCAAACTAGAAAGGGTGAGGCTAAACTAAATAGGGAGAAGATAATAGTAAAGTAAGGCCAGCTGGGAACAGAGAGAGATCTCTCTGCAATAGCGCCACAGACAGGTAGTGGCACTGTGAGGTACTGCATCAGACCTAGAATAAACCGAATTGTGACAACCATAGACCACATATAACTTTCAACAAGCCTTTTGCACTGGATCAAAAATTTCTCTAAATAATTTCTATATAATTACAATAAAAAAGACCTAATAGTGTTACATCGATGTTGTTGTGGTCGTGACTTAAATATGAATATTAATCTCTTAATACATAATAATTAAGCAATACGGAACAACATTAATATTTTTATAATTCATGGTATTATGGTCGAATATGTGGATAGAAAATACACAAAACGTTGTAATATTAAATGTATATTTAATATAACTATAACAAATAAACAGATGCTAGCAGAATGTCAATTTACTACAATTATGATAATAACTATAATAAATAAACAGATGCTAGCGGAATGTCAATTTACTACAATTATGATAATAACTATAATAAATAAACAGATGCTAGCGGAATGTCAATTTACTACAATTATGATAATAACTATAATAAATAAACAGATGCTAGCGGAATGTCAATTTACTACAATTATGATAACTATAATAAATAAACAGATGCTAGCGGAATGTCAATTTATCACAATAATTATACAATAAAATACTACACAAAATATTATACATAAGGCTATTACAATTGCTAAATGTCATTTTTTTTTTCCAATATAGTTTTTATTAGGATTTTGTTTCATTGTTTACAAAAACTGAACAGTGGGTGATATGTAGTATCACAAGAATACAAAAAGTTGTCTATACAAGGCAACAATAGGTATAACATATAGCACGGTAACAAGTAACATGTACAAGGGTTCCCATACAGCTTGTAGTTGCATGGGGGAGTCCACACCGTTGCGGAGGTGTTTTATGCGCTCGTTCATTGAGTGTCCTATACAACATTTTCATGCTTATCGTGGGCTTCTATTCTGTGGGTTGTCACGGGTTGGGGGTGTCTGTCCGTTTGTCACACAGCTCTTATTGTTTGTTGTCGTATAAAGTTACCCAGGGGGCCCAGGTCGTGTGGAATCTTTGTGTTGATTTTGCGTCTGGGGCGGTCATGCGTTCGTACGTGTAGTATTGCTGTATTTTATCCCATAATTTGGCTTTGGTAGGACAGAGTGTGGATTTCCAGTTGCAGGCTATTAAATTTCGAGCTGCCAGGATGGTGATTGCACTTAGTTGTTTGTGTGCATATTTAAACGATGTGGGGAAACGCATAAGTAGGAATAGTTCGGGGGTGTTTCCAATGTGTGGGACATTAAGGGCACTTAGAGTGTTTTGTACTTCTACCCAGAGGGGTTGTATGTTGGGACATGACCACCATATGTGCGTATGTGTGCCTGTCTCTGCCGAACATCTCCAGCAGAGAGGAGACGTATTGGGGTAAATTTTATGGAGTGTGTAGGGAGTTAAGTGCCATCTGTACAGTAATTTTCTATGTGCTTCTATATGGGTGTAGCACTTAGTCCATTTAGATATGGCGTTCAGTGCGTGAATCCATTCGTCATCCGTGAGTTGGATAGTGCATTCTGTTTCCCACATTGCT